AACGGCGGTTACGGCTCCAGCATCGATGACATTCTGCAGGCTGCAGACATCAAGTATCAGCACAAAGGACTGGTGGCGAAGAAATTCCACCAAAAGAAGCGAGTGAGGCGTTCACTAAGTGAACGACAGAGAGTCCTTGGCTCCAAAAGCGCACCATGGCATCGCTTCAACCCTTACCTTCGTGGCAAAGCGCTGAAAGTGGTGGCCAAGAAGGGACATTTCTGAAGAAAATACACCATTATTAACGTTGTGTTTTCTAATTTCGATGTCGTTTCCATGAAATATCAGAAATCTATTATCTCTGTATTTCGTGTAACTGCAGTTAAATGTGTATTTAAGGTAAATAATACATAAATATTAATAGATAATTGTTTTGCATTAACAAAAAAGCCAATTCATTTTGAATTTAATACAATTATGGAAGTCTCTAAACAGAACTATAAAAAGAAGCAATTTTTTATAGAAAAATTCTAACAATTGACACAAACAGATTTTCAACCCCTTTTACAAAATAAACTCCAATCATTTTTCAAAGTGAAACCACTCATGGTGCTTCACTGTCAGAGGTGAAGAAAACAGAACTGTAGAGGGAACAGAGCAATAACATACCACTGAAGCTTACAAAGCAATAGCCAAATAAAGATTAAAATTTGCTTTAAGCGTCTTTCCTAATTAAGTCAATCTGCTTAACAGTTAGTGCTTGTAACTGAGAACCGACTGGAAAGTATCACAGAAGAATAAAATGGCATGAACCAATATGGGAAGACTAATAATCTTCCTCTGCAAAAATTGCACTTGTGTTTGAAACGGAAAGTTTCCGGTGAGCGTTTGCTCCCAATGCCAACACATTGGTATAAAACGTGGACAGCAAACCTGAAAGCTGTTCATAAACTGAAGAATACACAACGCAGTATGGAAAGATATATGCTGGAATTAACAGCACAGTAACAATAAAAAGATGAACGAGTGGATATGAGCACAAATAAGAGTTTGCTAAATCATAGCCTGAGTGAAGAAGTCAAAGAAGTAATGGACAGGGCATGTTGAAAGAAGAACCGACGATCACTGAACCACAAGAACATTAGATTGAGTTTCAGGATAAGATACATGGCCCGTGGCCCGCAAGAAGACCATCAGATGGATGAAACGATGACCTGAAGCTCCGTGGTGAAGATGGATAAAAATAGTGGAAAACAGAAGCCTCTTGCGAAGTCCTGGAGAGGTCTTCATCCAGCAGTGAGTCGACAAAAGCTGATGATGGTGACAAGCTTAATTCATAAGCGACTTCAATCTTAGTACAGTATTTCTGATATACGCTCTTTGTCGATGTATGTACTGTGAACCGGATCGCATGACAGGGAAAAATATGGTGGAGTGTTATTCTTGAGGTAATACAGCAACAAAGAAAATCTGAATGAAGTCTGAAGTATCCGGCACACGGGTCGTATTAAACGGGATTGGCACAACTCCAACATTTAAAGCACTTTTATTCACGGGAAGATAGTAAGATAAGATAAAACTATAAATCCGAGCTTAAAAAGATGGAAGACAATCGGCAATATTATTTCCCAAAAAAGGCATAAGCAGTCAGTCAATCATTTTTGATGGCCGATCTTCATTTCAGGTCGTTGAGGCAGATAGCTCTGACAATGTCTCTAACGTTCCTGATCATGTGCCAGCGCTTGAGTTTCGGAAGAAGAGAACTCGAGTACGGAGCCGGAGCCAAGTCTATGGAGATACTTGCCACCGGTGAATTTTTTAAGGCAGTATCCCAACGTCTGCGATCCTGTTCCAGGGTCTAAGCTTTGGCAGAAGATAACTGGAAATAAAGCAAAGCCGCCCACTGCTGTTTCTGCTCGAGGTCATTCTAAGCCATCCACTGGGTGTTTGCACGGCTGGTGGAGCAAATATCAACTTCCTTTCTGGAAGCATTTGCAAAACGTGCCAAAACCATCACAGTTAAGAATTCTCAGTCAGGAGAAGCAGCAGTTGGACATCAAGGCTCTCGCGGATATCTGAACTCAGACACTGCTGAGAGACTTAGCCCAGTGAATCGTTTCAGAAAGCCTGCTTCTGCCGCTTCTATCCGGAACCGAAACTTTTTAGTCATGATTCACGACTTATAACCACAAATGAGGATGGAGATGAAAATCGGCTTTATTAGACTCGGTTCTACTTCCGTCACAATGGTTCGAATTAGTTCATGCAGAATGCCGCAAGCCAATTCCAATTCACCAGTCGATATTTTCCTCCTATTTCCTATCATCAGTAAACACGACTCCCAGATGCCTGAACTGCCCTGCCTGCTACGGTACTTTTTGTTTATCTACAGAACTCAGCGGATAAGGGGAAACAAGAAAACATTAGGCCCCTGGCTTGAATTTGCTGTAAATTTATTTACGCATACAATTTGTGCAGAAATTCGGTCAAAAAGAATTGCAGTGGCATAGCGAAACCATCCGAAGCATGGCCGCATGTGTCGCATGCTTTTGCATGACCACACAAAGGCATAATGTTGTTTCCATTATTCGCAGGTCAACGTCCTGCTACCTTTCTTCGCCTGATTGCGCCAAAACACAGTGGGGTGAATTCATCGTCCAACGAAGTTTGCAATCACATAAGGAAACTTACGTCGCGTGTGGGATTTGAACCCGGCACCTTTAAAGTACAAAACATATACTAAACAGTGACATCACTGTTCCCCTTTCAGACATATTTACACAAATGCAGATCAGGTCGCACTCGGCTACGAACCTCAGTGCGCTCTGGAGACCAGTTTCTGAACATTCCAACATAACAAGGTTGTTTGTAAACAGCAAACTTCACACACGCATAGCTCTTACTCTGGTACATTCTGTTCATGTACAGCCCAAACACGAAGAAACGCATGTTTTTGATCATACCGTCTACTGCTTGAACAGCTGATTCTGACTCATGACCATAACAATAAAAAACAGATGATATTCGCAAGATATCAGGAAATGATTAGAAAAACATTCTTCTTCCTCAGGAACGAAAATACTTAGTAAAAACGGTACAAGTGGCATTCATGTGGCTATTCTTCTGAACGAAGCAAGACAATTTTTACTTATTTGTTTCAGCAGCATATTCATCTATAAATTCCAAGATGATTCTTAAGTATTTTGCTACTACTGTTTCATAACTAAATCATCGCTGCCTCTCGTAACGTTTGGTACTGTAATATTCAACTGCTTAATCTCAACACCAATTATTATAAATTTTAAGACATCATGTCATTCTAGGTTTAAAATACAATTTCAGACAGAAAGTGAGCTTCAGATGCCGCTTGTCATTTCGAGCAGTAAAAAATGACGCCAATGCCAACGTCTAAGCATCGGCAGAAGATATTCTTTGAATGTAACGAAGTTCAGAGACCCACTTGATTCAATTCATTTAGTCTTTTGCCGGACGGTGGGGCAAATAAGAGTTGCTTTCTGCATCCTTTCTTATGGAATTTGGAATCCACACCAAAATTAGTGTAAGAACTACTGGATTGATAAAGATTATCCATCTGACTGAACCAACAGTTCAGTCGAGACTCATAACCCGTGTGATTTTTCTCAGGAAACCCATAAGATACAGGCGATTATATATCATAACCTTATGTTGATTAGCACAGAGATGAAAATCGATCGGAATTGTCAATTTCGAACTTAATTCTTCATCTGTTTCAGTGATGTTCTGCGGGCTCACACAGCACATCGCATAGGGGTTGATGACAAAACTAAAATTTCAGTTGAAGACTTGTTTATTCGCATGCGAACGACATCACACTCGACTGCAAACTTTTCGACTACGAGCAGATCAGCTTTAAATAATGCAAATAGGACAAGCTATTTTTGCAAGCAACAGACTCTTAGTCTCAACGTCTCCCACTTTCATGCGCTTTAGTCCTTTGCTGTGCCTGAAAGTTGCCATGTACAAATGAAAAGTATACAAGTTAAGTTGGTTTTATCAATCTGTATCTTTAAACGTAACGAATTCATAACTTCAGCATGAAGAACAGCAATTTCCACTTATTCGAGAACTTCGCTGTATGCGCAGTTGACGCTGCAGAACTAATCGATTTTGCAGTTGATGGAAAGCAGATTGATATTGATCCTATGCATTTATGATATGAGGTTTATTAGCGTGTGTAACGGTTGCCATCAGCAAAGCGCATCCTTACGCAACATTATTCTATGATCACAAGGCCATGAAATATGTATACACAATGAGATAATGGCAAGTCAGAATACTGTGTGAGCAATCATTAGTAGGCACCTCACGAAATGTACAGATATTTACCCAATCATTTGTTTCCTACTAGCACTTGCGATGTTGATGTAAGATTTTTAATCAGAGGTACCTGGATTAAGTTCTTTGCACAAACTTTCACCAGAGCAAAAATTGTTGCTTAGATCATGTGCTTTATTACAGTTCTTAAAGTTCAAAGGTAAAATCATATTTCTCATTAATTTTTATTTTTGTGAAAATACTACGTCATGCTGGTTACCATTTCTCTCTAATTTACATGTTCAAATAAAACATAAATATGCCAATTTCGCCATTTCCTGAAATTTAATTGCAAATAACCTTGCCATGAGGGATTAGGGACACAAATGTCATTTTATGTCGACTTTTCTCATTTTTTCCTGCAATCTATATAGTTTCTGTCTGTAATTTGTAATAAGATCTTAGTGCTGAGAGCAAATGCGGCTGCTGAAGCAAACTTGATTAATTAATTATGAACTTAAATGAAATACCCCTTCGCAAACTATCGAATTCGTATCTGATATTATAACCTATTATGTTATTCCATAAGACGGTTTAGAAAAATAGCGAATTTTACAAAAATAATTTATTAA